AGAGATCATTCTGTCGTTTTTGAGATTGCATCTAAGTACCGCATTTCGGACTCCTCTGTTGACTATGATGGCTACTCCATTTCTTCTAATGGATTCCTCCCCACAGTAGTAGATACAATGGTCATGTGAGTTAAATTCACCCATTCCAGTCCATTTTAGTTCGCTGATTCCTAAACTGTTGATGTTCACTCTTGTCATCTCCTGTCTGATCACTTCCAGTTTGCTTTGATTCATGGACCTAACATTCCAGGTTCCTATGCAATATTGCTCTTTACAGCATCAGACCTTGCTTCTCTCACCAGTCACATCCACAGTTGGGTGTTGTTTTTGCTTTGGCTCCGTGTCTTCATTCTTTCTGGAGTTATTTCTCCACTCATCTCCAGTAGCATATTGGGCACCTACCGACCTGGGGAGTTCATCTTTCAGTGTCCTATCTTTTTGCCTTTTCATGCTGTTCATGGGGTTCTCAAGGCAAGAATACTGAAGTATTTGTAACACTGAAGTAGTTGAAATAAATATTCTTTTTTTGTTGTAATTTTTTGAGTATTTAACTGTATGAACACAATGATTAATCAAAGTTAAATAAAACACTTCTAGATTGTTATGATTGATGCTTCATAAAACTAAGTTGAAATAGATCTTTCTTAATGAAAGGATAATTCATAAGCTGAAAGTACTTGAGAATAAAGAAAGCTATGATTGAGAGATACTCACCTGTCTGATAAAGAGCCATACATGATGCCTCCCACCAGAATTCCACTCATGACTAGGAATTTAGCCACTGAGATCAGTGACTGAGATTTACATACCAGGTCCCACTGAAAGACAAGCACACCATCACTGCAGAGCTTCACAGCAGCTTAAAATCTCATTACCATAGGTAAAATAGCTAGTGGGAAGCGGCTCTATAACACGGGGAGCTCAACCCAGTACTCTGTGACAACCTAGAGGGGTAGGATGTGGGGGTGGGAGGGAGATTCAAGAGGAAGGGGCATATGTATACTTAAGGTTTATTCATATTGTTGTATGGCAGAAACCAACAGAACTTTTTAAAGCAATTATCCTCTGATTAAAAATAAACTTAAAAAATCTCTCAGTGGAAATCTGGTCAAAACTTCTTAACATTACTTGCAAAGTTCAATATTTGGGGCCTTTATCACCCTCTTCAGCTTCTTTTTTCTGCATTAGTTGACCTTTTACTATTCAGGTCTCATTTAAACATAACTTCCTTAGGGAAGTATACCCTAAATCTGTTGGTTTTAATAATCTCCAGTTTACATCAGACTGAGTAGTTCTCAGTCTTGGCCACAGAGTGGAATCATTTGAGGCGATGTAACATTTTTCAGTGGTCATGTATGGATGTGAGAGTTGGACTGTGAAGAAAGCTGAGCACTGAAGAGTTGATGCTTTTGAACCTTGGTGTTGGAGAAGACTCTTGAGAGTCCCTTGGACTGCAAGGAGATCCAACCAGTCCATCCTAAAGGAAATCAGTCCTGGGTGTTCATTGGAAGGACTGATGCTGAAGGTGACACTCCAATACTTTGGCCACCTCATGCGAAGAGTTGACTCATTGGAAAAGACCCTGATGCTGTGAGGGATTGGGGGCAGGAGGAGAAGGGGGAGACAGAGGATGAGATGGCTAGATGGCATCACCGACTCGATGGGCACGAGTTTAGGTAATCTCTGGGAGCTGGTGATGGACAGGGAAGCCTGGCATGCTGTGATTCATGGGGTCTCAGAGTCGGACACGACTGAGAGACTGAACTGAACTGAACATTTTACTGATTAGAATTTTACAGTAGATGTAATATGACTGCTCTGGAATATAGCCTTGGAATGGAGTTTTTCTTCAGTCTACTAAATATTTGTAATATACAACCAAGTGATTAGCATTACTGACCTGGTATAAGATTTTTAACACATTACATAAATTACTTGTTTAGACTTTTGTCATCCCAAGAATAAAAGTAGTATAATAGAAGGGTTCATTTCTATTTTGGAGCTCATTAGACTCATTAAATATATAGGTGCCTGGCATTTAGTAGAGAGGCAGTTAAGATTCCCTGAAAGGCTGAAGGATGAACACCTACCTAGTGACTAAAGGCTGGAAGCATGTTCATTATTCTGTTACCCCTAAACACCCAGATCATGTACTCACAAGAGGTAAATGGGACCTCTTACCTCAGTTACGATGGTGGAGGAGAAGGAACTTCGGTCATACACCCAGCAGTCCACACAGGGCTCCGTGTCCAGGTCAGTCATGTTGGGGAAGGTCCCATTCAGGTGAAGGAACTGCCACTGCGGGTGGCTGAAGCGACGACACCTCTCTGGCCTCAGGTTTGAGTCCAGTGGGATGGAGATTCTCAGGAGGGCATCAGGGCTGAGGGTCCCAGTGTCATTAGCCGAGTCAGTGTTATTGTCGAGAATGTGGACCCAGCAGCGATGACCAGGGACTGCTGCAGTGAAGTTCTCCAGTATCATGTGAGGGTACACTATGAGGCTAGAGATACAAAAGAAAACCATCTGAAGGATCTGGAATCTCCCCAGGCCTCCAACTTGGTCCAGAAGGTCCTGAAAGGCCATCAAGGATAAGCTGGTGATCCTCAAAAGGAGGCAAAATGACTATCTAGAAAAGTTCAAGGGAAAAAAATATTTCCAGCTGCAGTGTCACACTAAGTGTGTGTTGATCCGGGCCGCACTTTCTCCTCAACTTGCTCTTCCATCAGGATAGTGGAAGCTGTTTCTCTGTGTTGTTTTAAGGTCAGGTAAGTAATTAGCGATTTATTAGAGATCAATAATTTGCTGAGTAACTCTAGCAGTTGATGATCACATCTGTTACATGTTTACTTTGTAAAAATTCTTCTACCCAGCAGTATCCAAAGTAGCATTGAACTTTGATTTGTAGATTCTCTAGTAAATAAACTAAAATAACCTTATATTGTATGCACAGTCCTTTTTCAAAATGTAATATGTGAGACTCGAAAAAAAAAAAGTTAAGTGCTTTTTGACTTTTTGTGTGTGAAAAGAAGTGAAAATAGGTTTTTGCTCAGTTAATACTAAATTTTTATTAAAAGAGTTAATGAAAACAATCCTGAGTTAAATTAAAACAAGTAATATGATGAAATCCTTCTCTTTCAGTAACTGCTTCAGTTCAAATCAGATCAATGAAAATCAACACAATGAAAATTGTTGTTGTTGTTCAGTTGCTAACTTATGTCCAACTCTGAGACCCCATGGATTGCAGCACACCAGGCATCCCTTTCCTTCACCATCTCCCAGAGTTTGCTCAGATTTGTGTCCACTGAGTCAGTGATTCTATCTAACCATCTTATCCTGTTGTCCTCTTCTCCTTTTGCCTTCAATCTTTCCCAGCATCACAGTCTTTTCCAATGAGTCATTTCATCATATCAGGTGGCCAAAGTATTGGAGTTTCGGCTTCAGCATCAGTCCTTCCAATGAATATTCAGGGTTGATTTTCTTTAGGATTGGCTGGTTTGATCTCCTTGTAGTCCAAGGGACTGTCAAGAGTCTTTCGCAGCACCACAATTCAAAAGCATAAATTCTTTGTTCCTCATTTATGACCTAGCTCTCACATCCATAAATGACTGATTGGATAAGCCATAGCTTTGCCTATATAGACCTTTGTTGGAAAAGTGATTTTTTTGAAAATTGAGGGGAGAGTGGGCAATGATGGAGGGTAGAGGGCTATGCCAATGGAAAGTTCTTATAGAGGTTTATTTATTTAGCTTGTTTATTCATACAGATAGCATTTGTGAGGATCTTTTTTGTGCTAGTTTAAGGAACTATAACTTCATGGCAGTTATAATCCAGTGGATAAAGGAGAAATAAATAACTAATTATAATCTTATGTCATAAGGTACACATATGGCAGATGCACAAAATTGCTATGGAAGAATTAAACAGAATAAAGTGGAATAAAATATCACCTTGAATAGCATTAAATATTCTTTTAAAAATCTAAATATAACTGTTAAAACAAGCAAAATACATAGAAGTAAATATGAAAAGATTGTAAATAAAATTTCTTGCTTCTTTAAAGGAAAGATGCTTGCTCCTTGGAGGAAAAGCTATGACAAACTTAGTCTGTTAAAAAGTAGAGACATCACTTTCACAATTTTACTGCTGTGCAGTAAAGTACACAAAAGCAGAACCACTTGTAAAGGATGCACACATGTGACGATGTATGACAGACACATGGACAAACTATCTGACTGGACATATGAGTGCACACTCTCATCTTTGCAAGTTCTCAGCTTGAAGGTTTGTATGTAGGGGATTCACTGTATACAGAACATTTCATCCCAAAGCAGCAGAACACACATTCTTTTCAAGTATACGTGGAATATTATTCAGCATATCACATTTTAAGCTGCAAGAAAAATCTTAATAAATTTAAGAAATTTGAAGTCATATCAAGCACAATTCTATGTGAATAAAAAAGTCAACTAAAAGAGGAAACTGTACAATATACAAACATATGGGAGCTAGCCATGTGGTTATTAAACAGCCAAGGGGTCACTGAAGAAATCAAAGAGGAAATAAAAAAAGCACCTGGAGACAAATGAAAATAGAAACACAATGATAAAGAATCTATGGGGTCCAGGTTCAATGCATGAGACAGGTACTCAGGGCTGGTGCACTGGGATGACCCTGAGAGATGGGATGGGGAGGAAGATGTGGGGGTGTTCAGAATGGGGATCACATGTACACCCATGGCTGATTCATGTCAATGTATGGCAAAACCCACTACAATATTGTAAAGTAATTAGCCTCCGATTAAAATAAATAAATTTTAAAAAATATATGGGATGAAGCAAAGGCAGTTCTAAGAGGGAAGTTTATAGCAATACAAGTCTACCTGAAGAAACAAGAAAAATCTCAAATAAATAATCTAACCTTACACCTTGGAGAAGGCAATGGCACCCCACTCCAGTACTCTTGCCTGGAAAATTCCATGGATGGAGGAGCCTGGTGGGTTGCAGTCCATGGGATGCAAAGAGTCGGACACGACTGAGTGACTTCACTTTCACTTTTCACTTTCATGCATTGGAGAAGGAAATGGCAACCCACTCCAGTGTTCTTGCCTGGAGAATCCCAGGGATGGGGGAGCCTGGTGGACTGCCGTCTCTAGGGTCGCAGAGTCGGACACGACTGAAGTGACTTAGCAGCAGCAGCATATGATGGTAAGTAAAAATTGAAAAATGTTAGACAGTGAATGAAATAGAACTGGAAGAAAACACAGCTGAAGACTTTTAAAATAAACTTAAAAATATTAAAATAGATTTAGCTTTGCAGAAATGTTGTAAAGATAGTACAGAAAGTTTCCAAATACTCCACACTCAGTTTTCCTAAACTTCACTACTTACATTAGTATGGTCTATTCATCAACAATTTTGATGCTTTATTATTAAATGAAGTCCATATTTCATTCCAATTTTCTTGCTTTCAACTTAAAAATTAACTGCTGCATGATTCCATCTGAGATACCACATGACATTTAGTTCTCATCACTCTTCAGGCTACTCTAAGCTGTGACCATTTCTTCAACTTTTTTTTTTTCCCATAACCTTGACAGTTTTGAGTATTACCCAGGGTTTCTGTAGACTATGCCTTAAGTGGAATTTACCTGTTGTTTATGTTGTAATTAATTTTTTTTGNGTAAAGTAATTAGCCTCCAACTAATAAAAAATAAAAAAAAAAAAGAAAAAAATCATCAACACAATATTAGAAAAGTAAATTTAAAAGTACTTCAAAATAAATATACACCATGTCAAGTGAGATTTAGCTCAAGGATGCAAGGATGGTTCAATAGTCACAAATGAATCCATGTGATATGCCACATTAACAAATTGAAGAATAAAAAAATCAAATCATATGATCAAGTCCACAGATGCAGAAAAAGCTTTTGGCAAAATTCAACATCCATTTATGATAAAGACAGTTGACTAAGTGGGTATAAAAGGAACATAATTAAAGTTTATATATGATAAACATACGGCCATAATCATACTTAGTGAAATACTGAAAACGTTTTCTTTAAGACTGGGATCAAGACAAGGATACTCACTTTTTCCACTTTTATTAAACATAGTATTGGAAGTCCTGGCCATAGAAAACAGACAGAAAAAAATTCAAAGGATCCTTATTGAAAAAAACAGAGTAAAACTGTCACTATTTGCAGATGACATAAAACTATATATGAAATCCTGAAGTGATGATTTATAAAACATAACAACTGATAAACTAATTTTGTAAAGTTGTAGGATGCAAAATTAATATACAGAAATTCGTTTCATTTCTATGAATTAAAAATCTTTTAGAAAGGGAAATTAAGAAAACAATCACCTTAAACATTGCATCAAAAGAAAATTTAGCTAGGGAGGTGAAAGAGTTGTATTTGGAAAACATAAGACATCACATCATGCTAATCTCTGGTTTCCCAGGTGGCTCAGTGGTGAAGAATCTGTCTGTCAAGCAGGAGACATGGGTTCGATCCCTGGGTTGGGAAGATCTCCTGGAAAAAGAAATGGCAACCCATTCCAGTATTCTTGCCTGGGAAATCTCATGGACAGAGAAGCCTGGTGGACTACAGTCCATGGGTTTGCAAAGAGTTGGGCAAGACTGAACAACTAGACAACAATAAAGACATCAGTGAAAGAAGTTGAGGAAGATACAAACAAATGGAAAGACACTCATCTACAATACAAGCCACAAGATTCTGTATTTATCTTTTTACCTTTGTCAGGGATTTTAGACTTTTACTTGGTTTTGTGTTGCTGGTTATTGTCCCTTTGCTTCAACTTGGAGGACACCTTTAAGCATTTCATATAGGTCTGATCAAGTGATGATAAACTTCTTCATCTTTTGTTTGAGAAAGTCTTTCTTCTTCTTTTAAAGGACAGTTTTGCTGGATATAGTATTCTTGATTCACAGTGGTTTTTTTTTTCATTGAATTTATCATTCCACTTCTTTCTAGACTGCAAAATCTCTGTTGAAAATCTGCAGATAATCTAATAGGCACTCTCTTGTGCATAACAAGTTGTTTCTCTCTTGTTGCTTTCAAGATTCTCTCTTTGTTTGTGGCTTTTGATTATATGATTATGATGTACCTCAGGATAGGTCTCTTTATACCTATCTCAATTGGTGTTCCAACTTGATTTTCTATTTGTCTCCTTGGACTTGGAAAATTTTGGATATTATTTCTTCAAGTTGTTTCTCTGCTCCTTTCTTTCCTATTTTGTGACTCCCATAATGTTCATGTTGTTCCACTCGAATGTGTTCCATAAGTCCTTTTAGCTCTCTTCATTTTTCTTTATTTGTTTTTCTTTTTGATCCTTTGCTTTGGTCATTTCAAAGGTTCGGTCTCCAAGTTGGTTGATTCTGTCTTCTGCCTGGTCAAGTCTGTTGTTTAGTCCTTCTCATAAACTTTTCAATTTAGTTTTTCTATTCTTTGGTTCCAGAATTTGTCTGGTTTCCATTCATAGTTTACACCTCTGTTGATAGTGTCATTTTGTTCACACATTTCTCCCCCCACCCATTTTGTTACATTGTCTGTGCTCTCTTTAAGTCATTAAGCATTCTTACCATGGTAATTTTACATTCTCTGGCAATTCATGTATTTCTATTTCTTTTAGGTTCAGTTTCTGGAGATTTAGTTGTTCATTTAAATGTGTCATGATTGCCTGTTTCATTGTGTATTTTGTTATTTTTCTTATTGAGATTTTTAACATCTGAAGAATCAGTTGGCTCTTCCAAACCCTGTAATCTGGTCTCATACAGGGAGGACTTTAACAAAGCCTGGCTAGAGATTCTGGAGACCTCTCAAGCCTTTTCTAGATATATGTCCTTTCTGACTTTTGTGTGTAATCTCTAGTTTGAAGAAGATGGCTGATTTTTACTCAGGACTTCTCCCCATTGTAGTACTGAGGCTAGCAGGTGCTGTGGTAAATCACTGTCTTGGGTCTCCTTCTGATGTCTGTTTATGGTATTGCATATCCTGGTGCAAGGTTTATGTCTTTATTTTCAGAGACACCCTCTTCAACCTGGCATCCATTCCTATTTGTATAGATGATAATCTCTCCAGAAACCTGGTATAATTTGTATAGATGATAATCTCTCCAGAAACCTGGTATAAATCAGTTGAATTTACAATATTTCAATTTCTTATCCAGGAAGAAGATAGAAGTCAGTGATTTCTAGTCAAATGCCCCTCAGTGTGAGGTGTACAGAGGGGATCTGATCAAAGAGGGTGGAGAGTGCCAGGAATTCCCTACTGGTTGAAGATGTTGGCTTCATGCTCATCTGGGGTGCATGAATATTTTAATTGGATTCTGGATTTCTCACAGAAGTACTGTGTAATTTTATTGTTAAATCTGTGGAGGAGGAAGGTCTAGGACTTCTTTTTCTGCCATCTTGCTAAGATGTTTCTAATGTAATTTTGTGGGTTGGAACTTTTGGGCCATCAAGCAGTAGCGATTGATACTGCTGAATGTGTTGTGACACTAGATATATTATACATGTGTAGTACTCTGGTTGTTGTAAAGGATGTTACCAATAGGTGTAACACTGAAGGATATACATCCCTTTAACCAAGGACCCAAAGAATAGATGTATGCATTAAGTCATACTCTTGCTGTGGTCCATCTATCTTGCCCAGAGGGATGATATGTTTCTTTTATTATTACCATAGGTTATCTAAAATGGAACAATAAACACTATATCTAGGAAGTAAAGCATATTGATAGATGACAAATGGCAGCTCTGTAGTTGAGATATCCTCATATAAGAGTTTTTAGCTCTCACAGAGCGTGCTGTACAGACAATGGCTAATGGTGACTAAGCCTCTTAACCTCTGTCTTGTGATCAACAGCAACTCACGGACTCTGAACAAAATAGATTCTGGGGAACAAGGCTCAACTAATGTCTCTGAGTTTTCTGGAAAGAAAGATTATGTGTCCATGGGATGGTGAAAAATCCACCCACCAACCAACCAACCCCAGATTTACTTAAACTGCATGAGTGGTGACACAGACCAGCTCTCTAGTTTTCACATATTTCCTTTTCTCAGGTCCATCACAAGACTATATTCCATTCAGTAACTTTGAGAAAATAAAGACTCAATAACTTGCTAGCAAGGATACCAGTGGAAACCTCTTTCAGCAGAGATTTCCATGCCATGTCTTTACATGAATCATCTGCTGTCCTATTATAGCTGCCCTGGCTTTAGGTACCATGCTTGTTTAGGACAAGCTCATTTTAGAAAAGGCAGAGGAATCAGAGATCAAATTGCCAACATCTGCAGGATCATCGAAAAAGCAAGAGAGTTCCAGAAAAACGTCTATTTCTGCTTTATTGACTATGCCAAAGCCTTTGACTGCATGGGTGGAAAATNGGTCATGTATGGATGTGAGAGTTGGACTGTGAAGAAAGCTGAGCGCTGAAGAGTTGATGCTTTTGAACTGTGGTGTTGGAGAAGACACTTGAGAGTCCCTTGGACTGCAAGGAGATCCAACCAGTCCATCCTAAAGGAAATCAGTCCTGGGTGTTCATTGGAAGGACTGATGCTGAAGCTGAAACTCCAGTACTTTGGCCACCTCTTGTGAAGAGTTAACTCACTGGAAAAGACCCTGATGCTGGGAGGGATTTGGGGCAGGAGGAGAAGGGGACAAGAGACGATGAGATGGCTGGATGGCATCACCGACTCGATGGACATGAGTTTGAGTAAACTCCGGGAGTTTACTCGGAGTAAACTGGTGTGCTGCGATTCATGGTGTCGCAAAGAGTCGGACACGACTGAGTGACTGAACTGACTGACTGACGACTGTTTAGGAACGTTTGAGTAGACTTCATGATGCTATTTCTGAATAATTAATATACTCATGTTTTATATAAAAATTGTCAAAAATTATACACAGCCTCATGGCTTAGAAGGGTATGGTTGAAGGGTTTCTATTAAGGGGTAGTTGGTATCTATAGCCAGGAGGAAGATCTAATATTACAATAGGAGAAAGGATTTGCCATACAGCATTTCCTCACTTGATTTTAAATGTTGTTAGTTCTCTGAATTCTCTTTTTCCTTTTATAAAACTCCTCTTGAGAAATACTGCAAAATACAGAGTAAATGAAACATATTCACGGGTAGTCCTGTTGCAAGACAATGACAATTTGGAAATACTGACAGGTTTTTGAAGAATCGGCCTGCAACTTTGTGTTAAACTGAAAGGATACTTGCCCAACCCTCTCATTCCGATTTTCTACACTTGTGCTTACTGTACTTCTCCACCATAATACATATCACCCTAGTGCTTGTATTACGGAGCATCTGCTGGGCCACAAATGTGGATGGTAGCATCAGATACCATGAAGGGGACTCCCCTGGTGGTCCAGTGGTTAAGAATCCACGTTGCTATGGAGGGGGCACAGGCTCGATCCTTGGTCAGCAAACTAAGGTTCCCACATGCTGCAGAACAACAAAGTCTGTGCATTGCTACAACTGGTCCCACACACTCAGGGAAACCCCGTGCCAGAGCTAGAGTCTGTGCACAGCCACGAAGATGCCATGTGCTGCAACTAAGACCTGATGCAGCCAAATAAATAAGTCAAAAACAAAAACCCAAAAACCCGTGAGGACCCGTGGGGCTTTCTCTACCACAAAGCATCGTATTTTATGGGCTGGCAGTCAGTCTTTGGGGCGATGCACAATAGATGCTGTCTGGTTTTTCTCATGATGGGACATCAAGCATTTCATTGGGAAGAAGGATGGATAAACCGATGACATTCATCATTGATAGTTCCCTGGCATTCCTTTCTCTCTTGCTTCTTGCAGGTTGTTGTTTCTGTTTCTTGATCTCTTGGAAGTTATTGGCAGGAGAAAAATAAAAGAAGATTGTAAGACTGATTGATTTGCTTGAGTGTGTTTGAAAAGCTAAAGCCCATGGGGTAACTTAGACGGTTTATGTAGAAGAGCTAATAAAAGAAAGAAGTTGAGTATCTGGGAAGTCTGAGGATGAAGGAATGTTTGTAGATCTTGGGGGAGCAAGAGCCCAGTCCTGAGCCCTGGCAACACTTCATGGAAACAGGAAACTCCTAAGTCTATAGCTGTATAGGGAGATAAGCTGCCAGATGGGAAGCCCCAGATTCCAACATCTCATTATGGTGTGAATGGTAAAGTGGCTGCACCCGAGTGTCTCTTGGTCCAGTAGTAACCTGGTAATCTCTTTGAATAGATGACCGATAACCAGTGCAGTCCTCCTTGTAACCATCTTATCACCTTGCCACTGTATATTCTCCTAGAAGCTAGAAAGCTCTGGTGTGGAAGACTTATGGAAATAACTTCCTAAAGTAACTGATTTGCAATTTTTCACCAGCCTGGGGGGAATGAGGACTTTAAATCTTATTTGATCATATAAAATAAAAATAAGATGCCACACCAGTACATGTAGACTAATATCTGTCACACGTAGATTAATATTTGCTAGTATCTAATTTTTTTCATTTCCTCTGTGTATCCAAGGCTCCTAACACACTGCTTAATGACATGTTGAACAAATTATTGCTAAATCAATGAAATATTTTTAAAACTACTTATAATGACACGTATGGCATATGTTATTTTCTAATTCAGCCATCAATTTACAAATTTTCATTTACGTTCTTTTGGAAAATAAAAGTTGGTATTTTATTTAGTTTGTATGTCTTTAAATTCCAGTGGTTTTGTACATTTCCATAAAGTGATTAGTCATAGGATTTTTTTTCTTTTGAAAAGTATATGTTCTTGCCTTTTGACCATCTAATATTGACTTATATATCCTTTCCATGATTATTAGAATCCCACATATTATTATATAATCATTTTGAAAATTGTTATTTGGTCTTTTTCCAGTTTATTTTTGATGACTGTACAATATTTTAAAATATTGCATTATCCTTTTAAAACTTAGAATATAGAAACTGATAAAGAAAGTAAAATATCTTAAAGGTACTTTGTCATTTTGGTGAATATTAATATTTTTCTGGATTTATCCCATAAGTTTTTAGAGTTTTGTCCAACAGAGGTTTTAAATAGAGGTATTTAGTCAAATGTACATATATTTAAACTGTTTGCATTTGTTTTTACTAATCAGAAAGTTTTCTTAATCCTGAGATTTTGTACCCACATTTTCTATTGAATAATGTGACTTAATTGTTCCATTCGTCATTTTAAACATGCGGAATACTTTCTCAAGTTATTAGTCATTTATTTCCAAAGTTAGTTAATGATACTTATTACATAATCCTTTATGTCTATCAGTGATTTATGCTGTCCCAATTTCCAAATTTCAAGTGTTCTACATGCCACAAGCCTATTCTGGATGTCTTTTGAGTTGTAAATGCATCTGCATTTCATTTCAGCATGTACTGCCCCATATACTTGCACCACCTTCCCTCCATAAACTTCATCTTTTGAATCTTGCCTATTATTAACCTGTAGATAAATTTGGAACTGTTTTTCAAGTTGTTCCCCTAATAATTATTCCATCAATGACTGTGCCATTAATTGGAACAGAATCAATGTTTTTTAATGCTATTGTCTCTCTATCCAGAAACATACATGTTTTATTATGATTCATTTAAAATCACCATTACTTTCCTCAAACTTCATATAATGATCAGTCATAGGCATTTTGTACATAGTTATTTAGAACTGCAATTGTTAATGAGGTCCATTTTCCTATTACATCTTTTTATTTATTTGTTTTCCAAATTTTATCAATATTTGGGAATGACCCCATTTTTTCTTGTTTATCTTGCTCTTTGATTAGCAGATAGTGCCTGGAATGGAATTCCTTAAAATTGTGTCACTTTCATGAAAGTACCTTCCGGCTTCGCTTTTCTTGAGTCTTTTCTCCTAGAGCAAATACAATGAAAACAACAAAAGAACAAGATTAAAAAGCATGGAAAAGGCACCTATGTCTTAAATTATTTAGAGAAAATGGATTGTGTTGGTTTGTGAGTATTGATAAAAGCACTGACACCTGTCCTGAGGATCTGAGTAAATTTTGTGAAGAAAAAGTCCATGCTCCCAAAACAGGATCTGGGAAGGCAGCTTTGATACTGGACACCAAGGTGTCGGCTAACTGGGTCTTTGGGAGAGGCAAAGAAAGTATACAAAAGTTTTAAAATCCTTTCAAATTCTTGATCTTTTAAAAATACCAGTAATTACCACCTTTCTCGTCTCTTTTTTCAATACTTTCACTTCTAGTGAAAAATCAGGTGATCTGAATCTCACAGGCAGCACAACAGGACTCCTTCTCCTAAGATGTATTGTCATCTTAGAGAGAGGAAGGGCTCCTGCCCTCTCCTTGGTCTCCCTCAGGGACCTGCTTCAGTGACCAGGGCAGGTCACAGACCTACAGACACTGGTAATCTCAGAGAGCTTACTGCCCTCACTGGGCTGAGCGCTGCCAGGGCCTAAGGGGTGAGAATCTGATGTTTAAATCTGTGCATGTTTGTAAAACACCTTCGGGGTTGTTTATGTCATACTAGGGCACCTAATTTTGACTTCTTCATCACTAAACCTACTGGTGCCTACTGGTGCTGGTCTGGGTGATCCAGGGAGCCTTGGGGGAGTCTGAGGTCACTGTGGGGAGGGATGAGGCTGTAGCTAAACTGAAGGTACTGACCACCTAGAGACATCTAGATGTAAGCCTTCCCCTGGGGACAATGACCTTGTATGGTACCTTGGCCTTCTTATACAGACCTGTATCACACGGCAACTCTAAGGGACAACCAGGGGTTTACTCACTCCTTTTCCACATCCTGGATGGAGTCAGGCAGAGGCTTATTCCTGGTTTCAGGTAGAAGTGGGACAACAAGGCCACCAAGGATGGTGCAGACTGCATAGATGATCCAGGGCAGGTGGGGGGAATACACTGCTAAGATCATCAAGAGGGGAGCCAGGGCTGCACCAATATTAGAAGCAACTCCCAAGAATCCTGAAGCTGTTACCCTTGGAGTGAAAACAATAATACAAAAATAATCTGGTATAAATCCAAACATGTAATATGAGATTTAATATTTTGCTTTGACTATGGGAGACCACATGGGGTTCCTAGGTGGAGTTAGAGGTAAAGAACCTGCCAATGTAAGAGACTCAGGTTCAATCTCTGAGTTGGGAAGATTCCCTGGAGGAGGGCATGGCAACCCATCAGTATTCTTCCTTGGAGAATCCCATAGACAGAGCAGCCTCGTGGACTACAGTCCATAGGGTCACGAAAAGTCAGACATGACTGAAGCAACTTAGCATGCGTGCAGACACGGGAGACATCACAGCAGGATTTAATACATGAAGACTAATGATGTACTTTTTACATTTAAAATATACTCTTCTTTGCTCACAAAATTTTTAAGTGCACAAGTGTTTTTTTAAAAAGTTTTTGTTACTTAAAAATACTCTTACCCATAGCACCTTAATGGTTCAGCAGATTATGGGAGATGATACATTAAAAGGCTTAACATGCCTGACAAAATTGAGATTTTGATTAAAATTTTGGTTTTAATTTTTATTATTAATACCACTATAATCAATGCTTTTGATAATGATTCAGGTTAGTTTTCTTCCTTTTATAAGTCTTAATTAGCTTGGAAAGTTATATTTTGACTCTGCTAGAGCTTCCATGAGCTTGTATACCTGAGAACGGTGGGGATTAGTTCATTTCCATGGGCAAAACAACACATGAGAGTCACAGAAGAAACCGCTATTCCCAAAGTTGACACAGCCATACGCAGGGTCTGCATTTCTGGAGAAGAACATCAGTGAGACTCAGGAAATCTGAGATGAAGAAATCAACATCCCCCAAATTATAACTGAAAAGACACAGTTGGAAACATTTGCATGTATTAAACACATAGTAGAGAAAATACGTGGAGCGGAGAATGTGCAGAGACTAATAGCTGAGAAATGTGACTTATCTGTATATTATAGCCTAAATGAGAATTTAAAAACCTGAGTATTTGAATCAACTGTATCTGCATATCAGAGATTTTAGAAGCTTCCTAAAGATAGAGGGGGGAACAAAATCCCAGAAAGGGTTTGCTTTCATTTATTCTATCCAGTGTCTCCTCTGTCTTTCATGTATAACATAGGACTATCATATGAGCAATTACTGACAAATGTTAAGACTCATCAATATCCTTTAAAAGTCATGTGTTTACACAATATTGACAAAGGGCTAGTAATGCAGTAGAGAATCATAAAAGAATGGGGCTCATGTTAATGGATAAGCTGGAAAATTGCTTGATCTAGAATAATATTTTAAGATTCAAGAATAAGGATCTGTTTTAGGGAAAAAAGTAGACTTTGTAAACCTCTGAAAAGATGTTTCAGACAGTCAGTTTTCTATCCCATTAAAAAAAAAAATTCATGAAAGTATTACAACGTTGGAGTGGGCTCTGTTGAAAGGCAGCAAATTTGCATTGATGTGGATATTCAAGATGGTATCCTGCATAAATGCCACTGCACTGGGAGTTACCTGAAGCATGGTGACCATCTGGCTCCCCTTATTCATTGCATACAGTCATTTAATTTAGTAACATGGATTTTAAGAGAGGCTGTTAACAGCTTAATGCATTTCCTCCTATTCTACACATCTACTATGCTTGAAGGGAAGGGATTAAAAATACCTTGGAGTCAAGATGACAACCTGGAACCAGGTTGAAGTTATGGTGACCTAATTCCAGACACGTGAGTGGATACATAGAGTCAGGTAATAAAGTGTCACTGAAACTGTCATAATAGGAAAGAAACCAGACAGAGGAAGTGGCAATATTGTGTCCTCATATGAGATACAATTTGACATATGACATAATACTGCCTTTTACAGTTACAAGTGTGATTGGCCAAAGGGAAAGTGATCAATTGCTGTCCCAGGTACCAATTACCAAATACATGTCAGATATGATGTAGACAACTAGTTGTCTGAACTGTCTGAACTATTTTGCAGCCACTTAATGGCAGAATCTATCCTAAATCCTCAGACTGGTTTTGGAGAATCCTTAGAACCCTAGCCTTCACTTCCTTCTAGCTTCAGATTCTGTCTTCAAATACCTGGGGTAATACATTTTCTTATTTCAACCTGTGCTCTTTTCTCACCTTGAGGCACAAATGTGATGGCCAGGATGGAGATTCCAAGAAGAAACATGAAGAGTGTCTGGCTTACTTGACGGCCCAGGTGATTCAGTGACAAAAAAGCAACATAATTGGCTGGGAGGTTGACTGCGCCAAAAAGAACTTGGAACAGGAAAACATTGCTCCCCATATACTGGAGGTGGAGAATCAGACCAAAAAATGACATGAAGTTTGCAAATCTGTGGTGAACAAAGACGAACGACATTTACCATAAGGTTTAGAGCCTTTGTCTTACAAATGATGATCATAACTATTAACTAAGCAGCCAGTGGTTGGTTTTAAGGTATAAAAACATGATAGGTTTTATGAAATATTTCCTCATAAGGTGATGATTTTAAAACTATAAGATAGTTATGTATTTGGAGCTCCTAATTATTGTTACATTTTGGGGGAGGGTTTGGAGCATTTTTGTGAAGGACACATGATAGAACCTTCCAGGGATTTAGAGTTTTTCTGTATCTTTATCTGGGTGATGGTTGCATATTTACATATGGGAATATTCATCAGGCTATATATTCTTCTTCATTTTGTGGTTTGTAATTTTACCTTAATTAAAATGAAAACAAACAAGTGAAGAGAGTTAAAGCCAACATTGTATCATGAGAACATCTGAAGTTCTTAGCCTCAGTTTCCAGTGATGAACTTGTTAGGGTGATATGATAAACACAACTCTTTGTTGTATACCTAGCTCTGGGTCAGTCTTTTCATAACCCTTTGACTACTCAACACGGCAGTTATCATTATGGCTTTCTGTTTTATCTCAGATCTGTTCCCACCATGTTGCTCTTTTGATAAGGAATAGAGTCATGTCTCCACTATTTTAACATCTTTCATGCACTGTGTGAAGCCCACCTTACAAAGGACAGGAGACAGATCCTTTTACGCAGGTTGGGTGTGCGGAACAAGTCAAACAGAGAAGATTTGGTCTGTGCTGCCTCCAGCTCCTCCTGCATGGCAGATCTCAGGACCTTCAACAACAACAAACTGTTCAGTTGTCACACAATGGTAGGCATTGTGAGGCCCCTAACAGAGGACAAGATAGATGACTTCCCTTTCTGTCTACTGGGAAATATAGTCATTGAAAATGTAACAGTGGATGTAAAAGTGATATGAATAGAGAATTGCTGAGTTAAAAGGGACTGAAGGAAATTATTTAGCCACAAAAACAGGATTTGAGAGGGCTGCAGATCATTAGAAAGGGATTGTATGTCAGATACACAGATAAGAAAGGGAATCAAATCATGCTTACTTGGATAATGGTCCAAAGGTCCATTTGTGCCAGATGGGCATGAAAGACCTGGACACTAAGCTTGGTTATCAGCTGGCTGTCCCTTGCAGAAAAACTGTTTATCTCAGGAAAAAGAACATTTCCTGAGAGTCTTTGTTTTGGTTCTTTGTTCAGTCACTTTTTGGGGAATTCCTGGCATGTTGTGCCTCCATGAATGAGATGCCTAGAGTTAAATCTGAGGACGAAATCAGGAGAGATCTTGGAGTAGAATGATTTATATTTAGAACTGGTTATAATATGGAGTTACTTAATAGTCCTGCAATATGCTAGGTATATACCTTGAGAAACTTAATTAAATATTTCTAAAACTCAGTTCACACCAACAGCTCAATAAACATGAATTTGAGAAACTCCATGAGATAGTGGAGGACAGAGAAGCCTGGAGTGCCACAGTCCATGGAGTTACAAAGAGTTGGACATGACTTAGTGACTGAAAAACAACAGCAACAAAAAGAACAAGTAGAGGAACCAGAGTAGAAGAGTAGGTGGAGAAAAATAATAGCATTTTTCTCACAAAGACTTCCAGGGCCAGACATGAGGCTATAAATGTACATATGGAATTGTATCCAACTTATCTCAGATACCTATTTATTAGTTATTCAAACAATATCATCTTAATTCTTATCCCACCTCTACAAATGAAAAAAATATCATAAAGTCCATTGGAATAACTTCATGAGGAGTTCAGAGAAGTGAAAGGCCACCTTAACTGAGGACCTACACATGCAATAACATCCTTTCAGTTATAACCTGAGTAGCAAAAATATTGGACTTAGGCTTTTAGAAGAGAGGANTCCCCATCTATTTGCCATGAAGTTATGGGACCAAATGCCATGATCTTAGTTTTTTGAATGTTGAGCTTTAAGCCAACTTTTTCACTCTCCTCTTTCACTTTCATCAAGAGGCTCTTTAACTCTTCTTCACTTTCTGCCATAAGGGTGGTGTCATCTGCATATCTGAATTATTGATATTTCTCTCAGCAATTCTTGATCCCAGCTTGTGCTTCTTCCAGTCTGGCATTTCAAATGATGTACTCTGCATAGAAGTTAAATAAGCAGGGTGACAATATACAGCCTTGACGTACTCCTTTCACAATTTGGAACCAGTTTGTTGTTCCATTTCTGGTTCTAACTGTTGCTCCTTGACCTGCATACAGATTTCTCAGGGGGCAGGTCAGGTGGTCTGGTATTCCCATCTCTTTCAGAATTTTCCACAGTTTGTTGTGGTCCACACAGTCAAAGGCTTTGGAATAGTCAACAAAGCAGAAATAGATGGTTTTCTGGAACTCTCTTGCTCCTTTGATGATCCAGCAGATGTTGGCAATTTGATCTCTGATACCTCTGCCTTTTCTAAATCCAACTTGAACATCTGGAAGTTCACAGTACACGTACTGTTGAAGCCTGGCTTGGAGAATTTTTAGCATTACTTTGCTAGTGTGTGAGATAAGTGCAACTGTGTGGTAGTTTAAATATTCTTTGGCATTGCCTTTCTTTGGGATTGAAATGAAAACTGACATTTTCCAGTCCTGTGGTCATTGCTAAGTTTTCCAAATTTGCTGACATATTGAGAGCAGCACTTTAACAGAATCATTTTGTAGGATTTGAAACAGCTCAATTGGAATTCCATCACCTTCACTAGCTTTGCTTGCAGTGATGCTTCCTAAGGCCCACTTGATTTCACATTCCAGGATGTCTGGCTCTAGGTGAGTTATCACACCGTTGTGGTTATCTGGGTTATGAAGATCTTTTTTGTATAGTTCTTCTGTGTATATTCTGTATGATAATGTCAGAATAAGCTCAAATAACATCCTAAACTTGGGCCCGATGAGGGGTTCAAAGCCTGTAAGACTAGACTTGAATTACATCCAATATCAAAGTTAAATTTCAAGGCATATCAGGAAGATCCCCTGGAGAAGAATATGGCAACCCACTCCAGTATTCTTGCCTGGGAAATCCCAGGGACAGAGGTGCCTGGTGGGCTACAGTCCATGGGGTCACAATGAGTCAGGCACAACTTAGAGACTAAAACAGCAACAACACATTGCAGTTATTTTATACTGGTCATTCATTTTTTTGTGAGCAAGCAGAGATATGAAGTGAGAGCAGAAATAGTTCTGTAGGGGGCAATGCCAGCTCACTCACAGAAACCAAGGAGCTCCTACTACCCGATAAAATCCTTATTCTGCGAAAAAGAGGCCCATGTTCAAATAGGAACCTGCTGTGTCTTCACTTTTTAAAATGCACTTTTCTCTCTAATTTTCATTTCATTTTCTTATTTTTTTTTCTTAAACCTATTCATACCACTCATAACACTCTCCCAGGTTAAAATGCATGAAACAGCCCCTGTTTGAACCCTTGCCCAGTTGTGTCCTGGAATCAGTGTGAAAATTCATAGAAGCCCTTTGTTAAATGTTTAGATAGTTTGTTAAGCAGTTACCATCCTGTTGGTGGCTTGAAACTGACTATGGTGGTGATATTCACATCACAGAAATTGATCAGCACCACAATCTGAGACCTATGGCTTTTTCTTATTCCTGTAACTGAAGTGTTAAACATTTTCCAGCACACCCTGGCTTGACCCCCACTGTAAGTTCTCTGCTATTTGTAAGAGAATCGCTTTAGGTTTGCTGTTGTTCAGTCACTCAGTTGTGTCCTACTCTTTGTGACTCCAGGTTTCCCTGTCTTTCACCATTTCCCAGAGCTTGCTCGAACTCATGTCCATTGAGTCAGTGATGCCATCCAACCATTCTGTCCTCTGTTGTCCCCTTCTTCTCCTGCCTTCAGTCTTTCCCAGCATCAGGGTCTTTTCTAATGAGTCTGCTCTTCACATCATGTGGCCAAAGTAGTGGAGCTTCAGCTTCAGCATCAGTCCTTCCAATGAATATTCAGGGTTGATTTCCTTTAGGATTTACTGGTTTGATTTCCTTGCAGTCCAAGGGACTCTCAAGAGTCTTCTCCAACACCACAGTTCAAAAATATCAACTGAGTAATGGTGTATGATCTTTTTAATATGCTGTTGAATTTGGTTTTCTAACATCTTGTTGATGATTTTTTCAACTATACTCTTCAGGAATGTTGGCCTATATTTTTTCTTTTCTTTTCTTATGGTATCTTTGTCTCACTTTGGTTTCAGGATTATATTGGCCTGACAAAATGAATTTAGAAGGTTTTCCATTTCTGAAGTTTAAGAACATGATAGACTTTAAATGAATGGATGGAAAAAAAGACATTCCATGAAAATGATAATCAAAACAGAGCAGGGATAATCACCTTGTATAGATAAAATAGACTTTAATAAAAAACTGTCACAAGAGACCAAGAAGGTAATTTATAATGGCAAAAGGATCAATCTAACACAAATATATGACTTATAACCTACAAAGATTGAATTGAGAAGAACTAGAAAGCCTCAATAGATGAATAACTAATAAATAGCATGAGGCAGTAACTAAAAATTCCAGAAATAAAAGCTTAATATTATATAGCATTATAGGTGAATTCTACCAAACATTTAAAGAATTAATATGAATCTTCTCAAACTCTTCCAAAAATAGAGGATAGAAATCCTTCTAAATTAATTTTGTCAGGCCACTATGATCCTGACAGCAAAGTGAGACAAGGAAACCATAAGAAAGATAAAGACCATTACAGTATACTAACACATATATATGGAATTTAGAAAGATGGTAACGATAACCCTATATGCAAAACAGAAAAAGAGACTCAGATGTATAGAACAGACTTGTGGACTCTGGGAGAAGGCGAGGGTGGGATGTTTCAAGAGAACAGCATCGAAACATGTATATTATCTAGGGTGAAACAGATCACCAGCCCAGGTTGGATGCATGAGACAAGTGCTCGGGCCTGGTGCACTGGGAAGACCCAGAGGGATCGGGTGGAGAGGGAGGTGGGAGGGGGGACCGGGATGGGGAATACATGTAAATCCATGGCTAATTCATTTCAATGTATGACAAAAACCACTGCAATGATGTAAAGTAATTAGCCTCCAACTAATAAAAATAAATGGAAAAAAAATACAGGCCAACATTCCTGAAGAATATGGTCGAAAAAATAAACAACAAGATGTTAGCAAATCCAATTCAACAGCATATTGGAAAGATCACACACCATTACCCAGTGGGCTTTATTCCTGGGATGCAAGGATGGCTCAGTACAAGCAAATAAATGTGATACACCAAAGTAGCAGAATGAAGGCTAAAGATCATATGATTCTCTCAATAAGTGCAGAAAACACATTTGACAAAATTCAACACACTTCCATGGCAAAAATTCTCAACAAATTAAGTACAGAAGGAACTTCCATTAAAGGCCATGTATGAAAAGCCCACAGCTAATAACATCATACTCTATGGTGAAAAGCTGAAAATTTTTCCTCTAAGATTTGGAACTAGACAAGGATTGCACTTCAGTTCAACATAGAATTGGAAGTCCTGGCCAGAACAATTAGGTAAGAAAAAAATAACGCATCCAAATCAGAAAGAAAGAAGTAAAATTATCTTTTTTCAGACAACATGATCTTATTTGTAGAAAAACCTAAACACGTATCCAAAAAGTTGTTAAATGAATAAGTGAATTCAGTTAATTCACAGGATAAAAAATTAGCATATAAAATCAGTTGTATTTCTATACACCTGCCACAAGTTATCTAAAAATAACATTAAGAAGACAGTCCTATTTGCAATATCATCAAAAACAATAAAGCATTTAGGGATAAACTTAACCAAGAAGGTGAAAGATTTGCATATTGAAAATACTGAAGAAAGAAATTAAGGCAGATATTAGAAAATATAAAGATATTCATGCTCATGGATTAAACAAATTATTATTGTTAAGATGTCCATACAACACAAAGCAATATGCAGATTCAATAAATCCCTGTCAAAATCCTACTGATATTCTCTACAGAAATAAAAAAAAAATACCCCTAAAATTCATATGGAAGTACAGAAGACCCCCGACAGTCAAAGCATTTTGAAAAGGAACAAAGCTGGAAGCATCACATATTCTGGTTTCAAAATATATAATAAATCCACAGTAACCAAGATCATGATACTGGCATAAAGACATGTAGACCAATAGAACAGAATAGAGAGCCCAGCAATAGACTCATGCATATACAGACAATTGATTTCTGACAATTATACCAATAATTCACAATGGGGACAAGATTGTCTTTAATAAATGGTGTTTATTAAAATTGGATATCTACATGCAAAAAATGAAATTGGAAACTTACCTTACACTATGCACCTGTGGGTGATTCATGTCAATGTATGGCAAAAACCACCACAATATTGTAAAGAAATTATGGTGGGAAGGGGGTTTAGGATGGGGAACACATGTACACCCTTGGCAGATTCATGTCAGTGTATGGCAAAACCAATACAATATTGTAAAGTAAAAGAAAATAAATAAAAAAAACTGAAAAAATAAAATAAAGTAAGTTAAGAAAAATAAAAAATCAACTTAAATAAATTAAAGACTAAAAACCTAAACTATAAAATTCCTAAAGGAAACATAGGAGAGAAGCTTGTTGATATTGGTCTTGGCAATGATTTTTTGGTTGTGACACCAAAAACACAAGTAATAAGCAACAAATAGACAAATGGTGCTATATCGAATTGAAAAACCTTTACACAGCTAGGAAATAATCGACAAAATGAAAAAGCACCTGCAGACTGGAAGAAATTATTTGCAAGCCATATGTCTTTATAGCCTCTATATATATTCCTATATATCCAGAATATATAGGAAACTCTTACAACTCAATAGTGAAAAACCCAAATAACTCAATTAAAGTTCTGTCTAGTCAAAGCTATGGTTTTTCCAGTAGTCATGTACGGATGTGAGAGTTGCAATACAAAGAAGGCTGAACAATGAATAACTGATGCTTTAGAAGATGGTGGAGATGACTCTTGAGCATTCCTTGGACAGTAAGGAGATCAAACCAGTCAATCCTAAAGGAAATCAACCCTAATTTTTCATTGGAAGGACTGATGTTGAAGCTGAAGCTTCAATACTTTGGCCACCTGATGTGAAGAGCCAACTCATTGGAAAAGACCCTGATGCTGGAAAAGATTGAAGGCAGGAGGACAAGGGTATGGCAGAGGATGAGATGGTTGGATGGCATCACCAACTCAATGGACAAGAGTTTGAGCAGACTCCTGGAGATAGTGAAGGGCAGGGGAGCCTGGCATGCTGCTGTAAATGGGCTCGAAAAGAGTTGGACATGACTTTGCAACAGCGACAACAACAAAAAATGGGCATACGAACTGAATAGACATTTCTGCAAAGACCACATACAAATGGCCAGCAGGTACATTAAAAAGTGCTTAACATCACTAATTGTTAGGAAAAGGCAAACAAAATTATGAGTTACCACTGTACACCAGTTGGAATAGTATTATAAAAAAAGTGATAAGTATTGGTGAAGATGTGGAGAGCAGAGTATCCTTGTACACTGTTGCTGGGAATGTGAAATGCTGTGGCCACTATGGAAACAGTATGGAGGTTCCTAAAAAAATTGAGACTAGAACCAGTATATTATCCTGTAATCCTTCTTCTGGATATACATTCAGAGGAATTGAAATCAGGATCTTGAAGAGATATCTGCCCTCATATATTCATTAGATCATTATTCCCAATAGCTAAGATATGGAAACAAATGTCCATCTATGGATGAATAGAAAAGGAAAATGTCATCTATATATATGCAAAATGGTATATTATTCAGCAATAAAAATAAAGAAATTTTTCCATTTGCCACAACATGGTTAACCTAGAGGATATTATGCTACAAAAAATAAGCCATGTGCAAAAGAACAAATACTGCAGGATACCACTTACACAAGGAATCTAAAATAGTCAAACTCAAAGAAGCAGAGAGTTTCTGAATAGTGCTTGCCAGGTGTTGGGGGATGTGAGAAATGGGGCAATATTTACCGTAGAGTACAAAGTTTAAGTTGAGCAAGATAAATCAATCCTAAAGGAATCTACTCTATAGCATTGTGTCTAGGGTTATAATACTGTACTGTGCGCTCAAAATTTGCTGTGATGGGAGGTCTTATATTGTGTTATCACAAAAAAATAGTGAATAAAGAAGGATGGAGAAAGTTTTAGGAGGTAATGGATATGTTTCTTGTATAAACTGTGGTGATGATGTTCAGATGTATACTAACTTGCAAATCCATCAAGTTGTACATTAAATAGGTACAGCTCTTTGTATGTTAAAACCTCAATAAAGTGGTTTCAAAAAATTGATCAGATGTGCCAATGAGTAAATTTGCAGAAATGTTTTATTGTTCTTGTTTGACTGTCTAGCCCCTAACCTCTTTTTCCTATTAACGAGGGTAGATGATTTCTCCTTGTCTCTATTAGCATTCTTTCCATTCTCTTATTGCAAACAAAAAAAGTTAATAATGGGCTTCCCTCATAGCTCAGTTGGTAAAGAATCTACCTGCAATGCAGGAGACCCTGGTTCAATTCCTGGGTTGGGAAGATCCACTGGAGAAGGGAGAGACTACCAACTCCAGTATTCTTGGGCTTCTCTGGTGACTCAGCTGGTAAAGAATCCACCTGCAAGGTGGAAGACCTGATTTCAATCCCTGGGTTGGGAAGATCCCCTGGAGAAGGGAAAGACTATCCACTCCAGAATTCTGACCTGAAGAATTCCAGGGATTGTATAGTCCATGGGATCGCAAAGAGTTGGACATGACTGTTTTTCACTTTCACATGCTCTTTTCTGCATGGTCATTAAGCTGCTGCTCTTCTTGCCTTACCATCTTGACAAAAAAGCCATTGGAATGTTAATTGGAAAGAAATGGATTAGTTTTTTTAAAATTTCTCTATCACAAAGGGCGACCAATACACAGTCTTTACAATCATACATACTAAGTGCTTTCTGCCTCTGTTGAGTGAAATATCTGCTGCGTTCAGTCCCTTCAGCATCATGATGCTCTCTCTTAATATTCACTCAAACAATGTGGGCAGCTATTGAAGACCAGGGCAATGAGCTAAGTAGACCCCAACCACACCTGTGTTCCCACCCTTTATTCACTTGGACTCCAACTAGAGTATATGTCAGGTCATGTCATCCCAATCCCCTCTTCTGTTCACCTCCATGGTTAGGGCATCTCCAGCATTCTTCCTTCCATTCCTGTGTGCAGCTTTTCTAAGTTCCTTTAAACTCCTCTCAGGTTTGTTGGTGATAATCAGCCACCGAGCAGACTCTGCCAGCCACCTGATCAAAGAAGAGAACAGAGGTGCAACCAACTCTCATTTCCTCATTTTTTCAAATACCCTTTTTTTTCCTCATGAAATACCTCTCCCCTCTCATCTAATACCTACCTCTTGTTTTGTTATACCAGAAAATATAATGTATAGTCTCTCGTACCATAACTAGGGGCTTCCCTGATAGTTCAGTTGATAAAGAACCCACCTGCAATGCAGGACAGCCCAGTTTGATTCCTGGGTTGGGAAGATCCTCTGGAGAAGGGATAGACTACCCACTCCAGTATTCATGGGCTTCCCTTGAGGTTCAGCTGGTAAAGAATCCACCTGCAATGCAGGAGGCCAGGGTTTGATCCCTGAATCAGGAATATCTTCTGGAGGAGGAAATGGCTACCCATCCCAGTATTCTTGCTTGAAAAAAATCTCATGGACAAGAGAGCTTGGAAGGCTACAATCCAAAGGGTCATAAAGAGTTGAACACAACTGAGCAATTAAGCACACACAAAATACATGTAACAAGTTTACCACTTTAACCATTTTTAAATGTACAGATCAGTGCATTAAATATATTTACATCATTGTGTAATGCCTGCTATTGGGACAGATACTTTAAGAACCAGAGCTTAACTTTCCCTGTGCACAAAGCTGATCTCCCCAACTAAACTGCATTCTCTGTGTCAAAGATCTTTACATCTCCTGCGGTCCAGAGATCCTCATAGCCACTACTCAATACATGTTATTTTTTTTTTTTAACTTGAAAGTTAGAAGAATAAAGTATTCTTATAATAACACCTTATCAATAATTTTTACATTTTGAGTGTAAACCCTCTCGATCTTTTTTTCACAGAGATTTATTTTTTATGTAGTTCTCATCACACAATAAAACACCATTTTAATATTTTTTTTCCCACTTGAGCCAACTTTGGGCTACATTTTTACATCAGTTTATGATCATAATTTTTAACAGCTACATAAGCTCAGTTATTTTATTAAATCATTCTCCTATCATTAGAAATTGTTTTTAAATCCCTGCCACTGTAGAAAAATCTTTTTCCTTCGGTTGAATTCACATAGAACTATCCCCAGCAGGAGAATTTCCGAATTAAGAGAATAAATATTACAATGCATTTGATGCTATCATACTATGCTTTAACAAAGGGATACACCTTTGCTGTGGTCCCATGAGTAACTGAGCCAATTTCACTACAACATTANATGGACATCTAGTTTGCTTCCATACCTAGCTATTGTAAACAGTGCTGCAATGAAATTTTGATGAGATATAATTGAAATACAGCACTGGACAAGTTTAAAGTATACAGCATAATGATTTGCCTTATGTCATGAAATGACTATCACAATAAATTTAGTGAACATTCATCATCCCATATAGATGCAAATTTAAAGAAAGGGAAATTTTTCTTTCCGTGTGATGAGAACTCAGGATTTTTTGTCTTAACAGCTTTCATAACATGCATCCATGTTAATTATATTCATCATGTTATACATTACATCCCTAGTACTTACTTATAACTGAAAGTTTCTACTTCTTGACTGCTTCCATCCAATTTCCCCTCTTCTCATGTCTGCCTCTGGTAACAAAGCTTTCTGTGAGTTTGTTTGCTTTTGGAGTCTAACTGATCTACAATACTAGGTTAATTCCTATTACACATCATAGTGATTCAGTATTTCTACACATTTCAAAATGATCACCATGGTAAGTTTAGTTTGTCACCATAAAAAGATATTACGTAGCTATTGACTATACTCCCCACACTGTACATTTCATACTCTTGACTCGTTTATTGCACACATGGAAGTTTAAACCTCTTAGTCTCCCTCATCTATTTTCCCCCCACATCCCTGTCCCTCTAGAACCACCTGTTTGTTCTCTTTATCCATAACTGTTTGTTTTGGTCATCATTTTCTTTTTATATTCCACATATTAGTGGAGTTGGCATTTGTCTTTCTCTGAATTGTTTCACTTAGCAGAACACCCACTAGGTCCTCCATGTTGTCACAAATGGCAAGATTTCATTCTTTTTCATGGCTGAGCAATATTCCACTTTAGGGCTTCCCAGGTGGCATAGTGGTAAAGAACCTGCCTGCCAATGCAGGAGGTACAAAAGTTGTGGGTTTGATCCCTGGGTTGGGAAGATCTCCTGGAGCAGGAAGTGATAACCCATTCCAGTATTATTACCTGGAAAATTCCATGAACAGAGGCCTGGAGAGCTATAGTCCATGGGTTTGCAAAGAGTTGGACCTGTTTTCTTAATACTGGTTCCTGAGGAGGGCCGTCTTTTTTCCATTGTATATTCTTTAATTGCCCATATACATGCGATGAGTTTGTTTCTGCGCTTTCTATTGGGTTCCATTGATCTGTGTATCTGGCTTCGAGCTAGTATAAAACTTTGATTACTGTACCTTTGTAGTATAGTTTGAAATCAGAAAGCATGATACTCCAGCTTTGCTCTTCTTTCTCAGGATTGCTTTGGCTATTGGGGGGTCTTTCATGCTTCCATATGTTTTAGAATTATTTCTTCTAGTTCTGTGAGAAATAACATTGGTAATTTGATAGAGAGTGCATTGATTTTGGACATCACCTTGGGCAGTATGTTCATTTTAGCAATATTTATTCTTCTAATTCTTGAGGACAGTTTACCTTCCCTCTTTTGTTGTTGTCTTCAGTTCCTTCCATCAATGACTAATAGTTTTCCAAGTACAGATATTGTACCCCTTCATTTGGACTTATTCCTAGGAGTTTTATTCTTTTTGATGCAACTGTAAATGGGATTGTTTTCTTAATATTTCTCCCAGATTGTTAGTGTATACATTGTTAGTATATAGAAATATAACAGGTTTCTGTAAATTAATTTTATATCCTGCAACTTTGCCAAATTCATTGATGGGTTCTAGTAGCTTTTTGGTAGCATCTTTAGTATTTTCTGTGTATGGTGTCATGTTATTTAAAAACAGTGACAGTTTTACTTCTTCCTTTACAGTTTGGATTCCTTTTCTTTCTTTTTTTATTTGATTGCTGTGGCTAGGACTTCCAGTACTATGTAAATAGAAGTGAATAAAAGAGGTGAGAGAGGATGTCCTTGTCTTGATACTGATATTACTGGAAATGCTATCAATTTTTCACCATTGAGTATGATGTTAGTTAACTGTGGGCTTGTCACTTATGGCCTTTATTGTGTTGAGATATGTAACTTCTTTGTTGAGAGCTTTTATCATAAATAAATGTTGGATTTTTTCAAGGTTTTTCTGCATCTATCAAGACGATCATATAATTTTTTTCTTCAGTTTGTTTATGTGCTTTATTACACTGATTGATTTGCAGATACTGAACCATTGTTGCATCCCTACCCTGGGATAAATTCCACTTGATCATGGTGTATGATCCTTTTAATGTATTATTGATTTTTTGCTCTGATATTTATTTTTTTTTCTTCCTCCTAACTTTGGGTTTTGCTTGTTCCTCTTTTTAGTTCCTTGAGGTGTGAGGTTTGGTTATTATTTGAGATTTTTCTTGTTTTCTGAGGTAGACTTGTATAAATTTCCTCTTGGTACTGCTTTTGCTGATTCCCATAGACTTTGGATTGCTGTGTTTTTGGTTTCACTTGTCTCTAGGTATTTTTTTTATTTCTTCTTTGATTTACTCAGTGAACCATTAGTTGTTTAGTAGCCTTTGTTTAACCTCCATATCCTTGTGTTTTTGGCAGTTTTTTTTTTCTTGTAGTGGATTGCCTGTCTCACAGTATCGTGATCAAAAAAGATGCCTGATAGGATTTCAATTTTCTTAAGTTTACTAAGACTGGTTTTGTGACCTCTCATATGACTTATCCTGGAGAATGTTATATGTGTACTTGAAAATAATGTGTATTCTGTTTTTTGATGAGATAATCTAGGTATACATATGTATATATATTAAGACCATCTGGTTTAATATGTCATTTAAGGCTGTTATTGATTTTCTGTCTGGATGATCTCTCCATTGGTATAATTGAGGTGCCGAAGTCCCCTATTATTATTGTGTCATGTCAATTTCTCCCTTTATGCCTGTTAATACTTGCTTTACTTATTTAGGTGCTCCTAATTTTGTTTTTTTTTATAAAACTTAATTTTTAGAGCAGTTTTAGGTTGACTGCAACAATGAAAGGAAGATAGAGATTTCTCAACATACCCTGCCCCTACTCATGCAGTGTCCCTGCCTTCTTGCACCAATAGACAAATTTGATGCAACTAACGAACCTACAATGATATGTCATTATCTCCCAATGTTCACTAGGAATACATGAGGATACACTCTTGCTGTTGTACATTCTATGGGTTTTGAGCAATGTGTAATGACATGCGCCCACTGTTACAGTGTCATAAAGAGCGGTTTCACTGCCCTAAAATACCCTTGAATTCTGCCTATTCTTTTGTTTTCCTCCTTTGTGTGCTGTGTGCTCAGCTGCCCAGTTGTGTCTGACTCTTTGCGACCCCATGGACTGTAGCCTGCCAGGCTCCTCTGTTCATGGGGATTCTCCAGGCAAGAATATTGGAGTGGGTTGCCATACCTTCCTCCAGTGGATCTTCCCAACCCAGGGATCGAACTCAGGTCTCCCACATTGCAAGTGGATTCTTTACCATCTGAGCCACGAGGGAAGCCCTATTTTCCTCCTATCTACCACTTATCATTTTACTGTTTACGTAGTTTTAACTTTTCCAGAATGTTACGTAGTTGGAATCATACAGTATGTAGACTTTCCATATTAGCTTCTTTCACTTTTCAGTATACATCTAAAGTTCTTCCATATCTTTTCATGGCTTGATAGCTCATTTCCTTTTAGCATTGAATAAGGTCCTATGGCTTGATGTATAACTATTTATGTATGCATTTGCTAAAATAAATGAATTTATTCATGCATTCATCTTCTAAGTTTTGGCTTAGAAGATATGAATAAGGCCTCTATGAATATCCCTGGGTAGGTTTTGTGTGGACATAACTTTTCAACTCCTTTGGGTAATTACCAAGGAGTATGATTCCTAGATTATTTGGCAAGAGTGTGCTCAATTTTGTAAGAAATAGCCAATATGTCTTCAAAAGCAGCTATATCATTTTACATTCCCATCAGCAATGAATAAGAGAGTGCCTGCTCCTCTACATCTTTGCTTTTGATGTGTATCTATCTATCTATCTATCTGTTTGTCATTCTAATACGTATGTAGTAGTATATCATTGTTTTAGTTTGTATTTCCCTAAAGATATATGTTGTGGAGCATCTTTTCATATGTTTATTTTCCATCTGTACAACTTTTTTGGAGATGTCTTTTAAATTTTCTGACTATATTTTAATTGGAATGTTCATTTTTCTTTTTTAAAGAGTTCTTTGTATACATATGCCTATGGCTGATTCATGTTGATATATGGCAGAAATCAACACAATGTTGTAAAGCAATTATCCTTCAATTAAAAATAGATAAATAAATTTCAAAAAGAGTTCTTTGTGTATTTTGGTTAACTATTCTTTTTCAGGTGTCTTTTGCAAGCATATTTTCCCAGTTGTGGTTTGTCTTCTCATTCTTTTGGTTATACTTCTTTTTGTACAATGTGTGCTAAGTCTCTCAGTTGTGTCCAACTCTTTGCGATCCCGTGGACTGTAGCCCTCCAGGCTCCTCTGCCCATGGGGATTCTCCAGGCAAGAATACTGGAGTGGGTTGCCATGCCCTTCTCTAGGGGATCTTCCCAACCCAGGGATTGAACCCACATCTCCCACACTGCAGGTGGTTCTTTACCATCTGAGCCACCAGGGAAGCCTCATATTTCTTTTTAGTTGTAGTGTAATACATAAAATATTATTTGCTATTTTAACCACATTTGATTATATAGGTCACTCACTGGTATTAAATTCATGATTTTATGTAACCATCATCACTATCTACTGCCAAAACTTTCCAAAATCCTCAGTAGAAACTCTGTACCCATTAAGCTATAACTCCTCATTCCTTTTTCTTCCCAGCTTCTGGTATCTCTCATCTGCATTTTTCTTCATGAATTTTCCTGGTCTACATATTTTATGTAAGTGGGATCATAAATACTTGTTATATTTTGTCTGTCATTTTAGTTTACAGTTGTCGTGGTCCTACAAGTTTTACCATGATATAGAACTTTATTTCTTTTTATGGCTGTACATATCACAGTTTACCCATTCATCTGCTGATGGATATGTGTAGTTTTCACCTTTTGCTATTGTGAATAATGTTGCAATGACATTGTTTTATAAGCTATTTGTTTGAGTTCCTGTTTTCAACTCTTCTGAGTTTATACCTAGCAATAAAATTGTTAGGTCATGTGGTTTCTCTAACTTTAATTTTTTGAAGACTCCAAAAGTATTTGTCATAGTGGTGGTATCAATTTACCTCCCCATCAGCAATGTACAAGATTCCAGTTTCTCTACATCCTTGTGAAACCATGCTATTTTTCATTTTTTTTGGATTATAGCAATCCTAGTATGTGTGAAGTGGCATTTTATTGTGGTTTGACTAACATTTTTATTTTTTAAATTTTTTTAATTCTTTTTTTTCCATTTATTTTTATTAGTTGGAGGCTAATTACTTTACAATATTGTATTATCAAGGGTGAAACAGATCACCAGCCCAGGTTGGATGCATGAGACAAGTGCTCGGGGCTGGTGCACTGGGATGACTAATATTTTAAAAATGACATCATGTTGAGCATCTTTTTATGTGCTTATGCCCCATATATATAACTTTATAAAAGAAATGTATATTCAAGTCTTTTGCTCATTTAAAAATTGGGTTCTTTGTCTTTTTGTTGTTGAGTTGTAGGAGTTTTTCTATAGTCTGGATATTAAACCCTATTCTATTGGTCTATTCACCTATCTTTATTCTTTATATATGATTTACAAATATTTTCTCCCATTAGACATGTTATCTTTTCAATTTATGGATAATATCCTTTGATGTGCTGAAGTTTTTAATTTTGATGAAAGTGAAGTGACTCAGTCGTGTCCGACTCTTTGTGACCCCATGGACTGTAGCCCACCAGTCTCCTCTGTCCATGGGATTCTCCAGGCAAGAATACTGGAGTGGGTTCAGTTTCCTTCTCCAGGGGATCTTCCCGACCCAGGGATCAAACCCAGGTCTCCCGCACTGCAGGCAGACGCTTTAACCTCTGAACCACCAGGGAAGCCAGGCCCACCTATTTATATCTTCTTTTGTTATTCACACTTCTAACGTTATATCTAAGAATCCATTGTCAAACCCAAAGTCAAGAATATTTACCCCTGTTTTCTTATAAAAGTTTTATGGTTTTAGCTCTTTTATTCGGAGAAGGCAATGGCACCTCACTCCAGTACTCTTGCCTGGAGAATCCCATGGATGGAGGAGCCTGGTGGGCTGCGGTCCATGGGGTCGCTAAGAGTCGGACTCGACTGAGCGACTTCACTGTCACTTTTCACTTTCCTGCACTGGAGAAGGAAATGGCAACCCACTCCAGTGTTCTTGCCTGGAAAATCCCAGGGATGGGGGAGCCTGGTGGGCTGCCGTCTATGGGGTGGCACAGAGTCGGACACGACTGAAGAGACTTAGCAGCAGCAGCTCTTTTATTAAAGTTGTGAATCCATTTTGTGTTAATATTTGCTATGGTTTTAGGTTTACTTGCATCTTTTGCATTTGTATGTCTAATAAGCACTGTTCCATTTGTTAAACAAGACACATTTTACCCATTAAGTGGTCTTGGAAACTTTTTCAAAAATCAGTCAGCATAGATATATTGTTTAATTTTTATTTCTGCAAGATAAATAGTTCTGTGTAATTGAGCTGTTCAAAATGAACACTCTGATTCTGAACACTTTTATATAGTATGTATAATCTAACAGTTCTGCATTACTGAATAGACCAGTGGAATAGGGCTTAATATCCGGACTTCCCTTGTGGCTCAGCTGGTTAAGAATCTTCCTGCAATGTGGGAGACCTGGGTTTGATCCCTGGGTTGGGAAGATCCCCTGAGAAGGGAAAGGCTACCCACTCCAATACTCTGGCCTGGAGAATTCCATGGATTATACAGTCCATGGGGTTGCAAAGAGTTGGACATGACTGAGCGACTTTCACTTTCACTTTCATATGTGTTACAGAAGTTAGAAATGAACACTGTGACTCTGAAAAATTTAATAAGGTACCTTTTAAAATAAGGTACTTTTAAAAATAAAGTATCTTACCTTTTATAAGATCATTTACACTCAGAATTCATGATTTTCAGCTGAAATAATAGGTGACATTATGCTAGTAGATGGTAAGGAGCACCTTAATTCCTCATACCCTTTAGAGAAGATAGACTTGGGTGGTTGGTGGAATTGGTTGGCCTGTCTAATTAAGTGTACTGTCAGGTACAGGATACTTCCATTTCTAAAACCACTAATTGTAACAGAAGTTGCCATTAGATTAATTTTCCCTACATGGTTGAAAATTTTATGTTTATTGTAATGTTTTAGGAAAAAAATCAAGGCCACTGAAATACTTTTTTTATACATCACCAAGACACAATGCTATGTATAACACAGGTTTCGTAGGAATGTCTAGCAGCGTATTTGAGAAATAAGGACATGATAGCCATACTCTAAAAATCCACAAGCGATCAGATAAGAGAGGTCAGGAGCGACTGAACACAGGTTGAATCTCATGATGTGAAATGTCTTCCTCTCTGTTCCCATAGGAACCTCTTTTTTATCTTTATAAACTATGATGTGACACCTCCGCTCCAAACCTCATTCTCAAACTGCTCCCATGTCTGATGGAGATGTTGTTTCTGTATCCCATACACAATGCTCACAGCTGATAAAATAGCACTTACCACACTGACAGTAATTCTCCGTTTGTGTTTCTAGATCACTAGGGACTAAGGAAGCCCCAGGACAGTGTAATTTGCAATAAATGTTTATTTATTTATTTATTTATTTATTTATTTATTATTAGTTGGAGGCTAATCACTTTACAATATTGTAGTGGGTTTTGTCATACATTGACATGAATCAGCCATGGATTTACATGTGTTTCCCATCCCGATCCCCCCTCCCACCTCCCTTTCCGCCCGATCCCTGGAAGAATATTTATGAGTTCTTGAAAATACCTGAGTAAAGAGAGCTGTGATTCAGAGACACTCACCTGTCTGATAAATGGCCATATACGATGCTTCCCACCAGCATTCCAGCCATGAATAAGAATTTGGCCATTGATTTTAGTGATTGAGATTCACATACCAGGTCCCACTGGAAAAGAAAGAAAGAAGCAAAGGAGAGCTCCATGATTTATAACGTCTCAGTGGGAACCTGATTGAAGCAGTTTGAATGATTCACGTGGTTGTTTATTTTATCCCCTTTTCGCTCTCCAGCTTCCTTTTTTACATTAGCTGATTTTTACTATTCAAGTCTCAGCTTAAATATAACTTCTTTTAGGAAGCCTTCTCTAAACCTGTTAGATTTAACAATGCCTTGTTTTGTTCTATATAAAGTGGTCCTCAATCTTGGCCATAGAGTGCAATATTTGAGGGCCTTAAAAAGTTTCCTGATGCCAGAATTTCATCACAGATCTTCTTATATGGCTGCTTTGGGATACAGTGCTTGGAGGTTTCCATCAATATCCCTGATATTTCTAATTTACAAGCAAGGCTGAACATTAATGATCTTTTAAACACATCACATAAATTACTTTCTTAACCTTTGATCTTTCTAACAATAAAAGCCATATAATAGCAAGGTCACATCTATTTTTGAGTTCATTAAATTCTTTAAATATATAGGTGTTTGGCATTCAATAAAGAAGTAATTAACATTTGCTGAAAGATTGAAGAATTAGTACCTAATAGTGACTAAAAAGGCTAGAAACTTATTCAATACTCAGTTACCCTTAAAGACTCAGACCATGTACTCACAAGACGTAAATGAGGCCTCTTACCTCGGTCACGATAGTGGAGGTGAACATGCTTTTGTCATACACCCAGCCGTCCACACAGGACTCTGTGTCCAGGTCAGTCATGTTGGGGAAGGTCCTGTTCAGGTTAAGCAGCTGCCACTGGGGGCGGCTGAAGCGACGACACCTCTCTGGCCTCAGGTTTGAGTCCCGTGGGATGGAGATTCTCAGGAGGGCATCAGGGCTGAGGGTCCCAGTGTCGTTAGCCGAGTCAGTGTTATTGTCGAGAATGTGGACCCAGCAGTGATGACCAGGGACGGCTGCAGTGAAGTTCTCCAATAGAATATGAGGGTAGGTGACGAGGCTGGAGATACAAAGGAAAAGCATCTGAAGGATCTGGAATCTCCCCAGGCCTCCAACTTGATCCAGGAGGTCCTGAAAGGCCATCGAGCCTGAGCAGTGATCCCCAAGAGGAAGCAAAATGACTATTTAGAGGAGTTCAAAGAGAGGAAAACTTTCACTATGTCACACACTAAGTGTGTATTGATCCTGATCTCAGTGTTAGCTCAGTGGGTCCTGGGTCACCTCCACAGCAAGGGCATGGAAGCTAGTTCTCCAGCTTGTTTGGGGATCAGGTTGGTAACTGTTTTCTTTAACGTCACAGAGAAATACTTTGCTGAGATGTTTCCAGTAATTGACAAAACTGTTTAAAGGTCTACTCTGTGAAAATTCTTTTTTGTCAGCAGTGCCCCAAAGTGGCATTGGACTTTGAGCGCCACATCTGTAAATAAAATAAAATAAACCTGCTGCATGGTTTGCAGTCCGTTTCAGAACCTGTCATTTGCCAGACTTGAAAGTGAACTGTTGTTTTATTTTTCTGTAAAAAGTACTGAAAGTAGGTGTTTTGCTTGTTTAATATTGAATTTTCATTAAAAAAGTTAATGAAAATAGTCCTGAGTTAATTTACAGCAAGTGAAATATGGTACAATATTTTTCTTTTGGTAAATGATATTATTCTGCTTCAAGTCAAATCAAACCATGAATTCCCGTTGAAAATAAAGTACTCGAAACGGGGTCAGGACAGGTAGTGATTGAGGGCAGAGGGCTAAGCCAGTGGTAAGTGAATTTACCACTTTATTTATTACAGGCTTATTGATTCACTCAGATAACATTTGTGAGGATGTTTTCTGTTCTGGAAATATAGCAGTGTGTAAGATAAGGTCTTCAAGTGTGAGCCTATGGTGAGTTAGGGAGAGGTACTTTCATCATTTATTGTTATTTGATTTTGATGATGGCCATTTTCACCAGAGCTGGGTGATACCTCATTGCAAGTTCTGATTTGCATTTGCCTGATAATTAGTGACGTTTATCATCTTCATGAGCTGTTAATCCATCTGTATGTCTTCTTTGGATAAATGTTTATTTAGGTCTTCTGTTCATTGTTTTCTTTGATTTTTTTTTTTTTGAAATTGAACTTTGTGAGCTATATTGTATAGTTGGAAATAAATTCCTTGTCAGTTGCTTCATTTGCAAACATTTTCTTCCATTCTGTGGGTTGTCTTTTGATTTTGTTTATGGCTTCCTTTGCATGCAAAAGCTTGTGAGTTTAACTAGGTCCCATTTGTTTATTTTTATTTTCATTACTTTAGGAGGTGGAACCAAAAAATATTGCTGTGATTTATGTCAGAGTCTCCTGCCTGTATTTTCCTAGAGGAGTTTTACAGTATCCCATCTTACATTTAGGTCATTCATGTTCTAGTTTCATTATTTTTCATGTAGCTGTACAGTGTTCCAACCACCACTTATTGAAGAGACTGTCTTTTCTCCACTGTGTATTCTTCCATAGTCTTCCCTCCTTTGTCATAGATTAGGTGACCATAGGTGCATGGGTTGATTTCTGGGCCTTCTACTCTGTTTCATTGAGCTATATTTCTGTTTTTATGCTAGTACCATACTGTTTTGATTACTGTAGCTCTGTAATACAGTCTGAAGTCAGGAAGCCTGATTCTTTCAGCTACATTTTTCTTTCTCAAGATTTCTTTAGCTATACAGGATCTTTTATGCTTCTATCACATTAAAATTTTTTTCTTCTAGTTCTGTGAAAAGTGACATTGGTAATTTGATAGAGATTGCACCAAATCTGTAGATTGCCTTGGGTAGTATAGTCATTTTGGCAATGCGGATTCTTCCAATCCAGGAACACGGTATGTTTTTCCATCTGTTTGTGTCTTCAGTTTCTTTCGTCAGTGTCTTACTGTTTTTGGAGTAGAGGTCTCTTGCTTCCTTAGTCAGGTTTATTCTTAGGTATTTCATTCTTTTTGGTATGATGGTAAATGAGATTGCTTCTTTATTTTTTTTTTCTGATCTTCATTGTTAGTGTATAGGAATGCAAGAGATTTCTGTGTACTAATTTTGTATCCTGCAACTTTATTGAATTTATTGATGAGCTCTAGTAGTTTTCTGATAGCATCTTTAAGATTTTCTATGTATAGTATCATGTCATCTGCAAACAATGACCATTTTACTTCTTCTTTTACAATTTGAATTGCTTTTATTTCCTTTTCTTCTCTCATCATGGTGGCATTTGCCTTATAAATTGAGGTACTTCTATGTTAGGTGCATGGGATTTCCCCAGGTGGCTCAGTGGTAAATAATCTGCCTGCCAGTGCAAGAGACATGGGTTCAATCTCTGGGTTGGGAAAATCCCCTGGAGTAGGAAATGGCAACCCTCTCCAGTATTCTTGCCCGGAGAATCTGACAGACAGAGGAGCCTGGTGGACTACAGTCCATGAGGTTGCAAAGAGCCGGACATGACTGAGTGACTAACACACAGACAGTAGGTGCATCCGTGTTTACAATTGTTATGTCTTCTTCCTGGACTGATCCCTTTCTTATCTCTTATAACAGTTTTTATTTTAAAGTCTATTTTGTTTGATATAAGTATTAGTATTCCACCTTTCCTTTGATTTCTATTTGTGTGCAATACCATTTCCTATCCCCTCATTTTCAGTCTGTACATGTCCCTAGACCTGAAGCAGGTTTCTTATAAACAGCATAGATACAGGTTAATTTTGAACTAAAAATTCATAATAAAAAGTTAGAAATAGAACATTTTGCTTCATGAAAGCTCTTGGCAGTAGTAATGCACATAGATACTAATGTTAATATTTTGACTAATACCTAGACATTTCCTTTCCCCAAAAGAATAGAGTCCTATTACATACTTTCATTTTTTCCTGCTTTCCTAATTTATGTTGTTTTCTTCCCCAGGAGAAACCTGGAACAGACCCTTCTCTAGAGCCTACAGAGGAAAACACAGCCCTTTCAACAACTTGAGCCTCTAGAACTATGACACAAATACATTTTTGTTGTTAAAGTTACTCAGTTGGAGAGCTTTATTTATTATGAAAGCACTAGAAAGCTAAGATACAATTTTTATAATTTTAAAATACCTTTTACTAGTTTCTTATTTTCCCTACCCTCAATAGTTCTATTAGTTACGGTAGCAAAGTTGCCTAATCTTACAGAGGCGAACACAAGAATTATTTATTTCTTTATTATATTTTCAAAGAGAGACTTTAACTCTGTGTGTCCTAACATTATTCCTTCACTAGAAATCTCATTTCTTTCCCATTTATATCCCAGCCTCTAATGGATCTGAGGATTATGAAATATCATCAGGAATATGTGTCTCACATGAGGACAGGTAGGATTTGCCCTTCAGTTTAGCTCAGTTCAGTTGCTCAGTCGTGTCCAACTCTTTGCGATTTGCCCTTACAATAGAGCTAATTGTTGTCACTTCAGTACTAAAGCTACCAATGAGAACAGGGTAGAGGGGATCTCTGCACTTTAGACTGGAACACACAGTGGGTATAAATGACCTTGCCCCTTGTGAAGGTACTGGGCCGAGAGGGAGTATCCCAGGAAAGTCTCAGCCTCCTCAGTGATCTGAGGGACCCACTCAGTGTGTTGCCTTTCTCACCCACAAGATTCAAAGCACACAGTCCTTCCAAGGGGATGGTGGAAGGTTTCCTCACTTATTTTCCACATCCTGGATTGTGTCAAACAAAGGCATATTTCGGGTTTCAGGTAGGAGAAGGACAACAAGACCAGAAAAGATGGGACACACTCCATAGATGATCCAGGGTAAACTGCGTAAGTACACCACTAGGGTCATCAAGAGGGGAGCCAGTGTTGCCGCAAACCAAATTACCATCATATCTAATCCCACAGCTTTTGCACTGAAGGATAAATGACAACACGTAATAATGCAGTAATAATACACACACGAAACTTGTGATATTTTATTTTGACTTGATTATGGAAGACAGAGGACTTCCCTGGCATCTCAGCAGTAAAGAATCTGCATACAATGCAGGAGATGTGGGTTTGATTCCTGAATCGGGAAGATTCCCGGGAGAAGGAAATAGCAACACACTTCTGTTTCCTTGCCTGGAGAATCCCATGGACAGAGGAGCCTGGCATGCTACTAGACATGACTTTGTGACTAAATCATGGAAAACAATAGAACACAACTATTAAATACACGGATTTGGTGAAAAACACTTGTTTTTGTGATTTTGCTCTATGATTTTCTACCTGCTTTTCTCAGGGTCAAAGCGTATTAAGACTCACTGTCATCATTTTAAACGACAAGTTACAGAGTACACCTATTCTGACAAATAGCCTTAAAAAATTAATGAGAGAATACATTAAAGTACTGTTCAAGGAATAGAAGGAACATATCTCAACATAATAAAAGCTATATATGACAAACCCACAGCAAACATTATCCTCAATGGTGAAAAATCAAAAAATTTCCCCCAAAATCAGGAACAAGACAAGGATGCCCACTCTCACCACTACTATTCAACATAGTTTTGGAAGTTTTGACCACAGCAGTCAGAGCAGAAAAAGAAATAAAAGGAATCCAGATAGGAAAAGAAGAAGTGAAACTCTCACTGTTTGCAGATGACATGATCCTCTACATAGAAAACCCTAAAGAATCTACCAGAAAATTACTAGAGCTAATCAATGAATATAGTAAAGTTGCAGGATATAAAATTAACACACATAAATCCCTTGCATTCCTATATGCTAACAATGAGAAAACAGAAAGAGAAATTAAGGAAACAATACCATTCACCATTGCAAAAAAAAAAGAATAAAATATTAGGAGTATATCTACCTAAAGAAACAAAAGACCTATACACAGAAAACTATAAAACACTGATGAGAGAAATCACAGAGGACACAAATAGATGGAGAAATATACCATGTTCATGGATTGGAAGAATCAATATTATCAAAATGACTATACTACCCAAAGCAGTTTATAGATTCAATGCAATCCCTATCAAGCTACCAACGGTGTTCTTCACAGAACTAGAACAAATAATTTCACAGTTTGTATGGAAATACAAAAAACCTCGAATAGCCCAAGCAATCTTGAGAAAGCAGAATGGAACTGGAGGAATCAACCTGCCTGACTTCAGGCTCTACTACAAAGCCACAGTCATCAAGACAGTATGGTACTGGCACAAAGACAGAAATATAGATAAATGGAACATAATAGAAAGCCCAGAGATAAATCCACGAACCTATGGACACCTTATCTTCGACAAAAGAGGT